CACTCTAGATTCAGTGACAGAGGAAGACACATACATGGACATCAGCCTTAATCCTCGGCATGCAAGCATGCATGCACACATGCACATATACATATTCACAAACATAAGCATGCATATGCATGTGCGCACACCACACACAAACACAAAACATACAAAAATGATAAGAAGTAAACCTTGAGATGCACACAGAAAGTAATTAGAGGACCCTACCCACAGTAACAAACAATGCATATCTTACATGGAGTGATAGACCAGCCTGCCTCCATCAAGGGCGTGAAAGCCATCTTATAGTAAAGACAAACTAGGTTCCTTCCTGTTTAGGGTAAAAGCTGTTTCTCGAAGATAGGGCTATGCTCCATCTGTAACCTTAACTATAAATGTTTCTGTACTGCCTGTTCTGTACTACCATGCCTATGTTTCAGAGGGCTCGTATGACCAATTGTTATGACTATCTGGCCTTATAACCATGTCTTTGTTTCAGGGCGCTGTTATGACTAACTTGCTATGCTTATGTTCTGCTTCTGTAGCCCCACCTACTTGCCTGCCAAATCCCCCATTTGGAACCCCCCTACTCCTGAACTATAAAAACCCTTACCTTGCTGGGTGTGGTGGGGTTAAGGGTGGCGCACGCCTTTAATCCCAGCACTCAGGAGGCAGAGGCAGGCGGATCTGTGAGTTTGAAGCCAGCCTGGTCTACATAACAAGTTCCAGGTCAGCCAGGGCTACACAGAGAAACCCTGTGAGAAAACAAACAAACAAAACAAAAAAAACCAGCAAACAAACAAAAACAACCCCACGTCTAATGCTAATCTTTTGAACCCCACATTTAGGGAGAGACAGCCAGGATGTACATAAACAAAATAAAGCTTGCTTTAATTACTTTGGGCATGATGACTTGGGTCAGAAGTCTTTCTCCTTGCATCTGTTTGATTAATAAGAGACACACAAACACACCCCATCCCCTGTCCAGCCCAATAAACATAAGACCTTTTAATTAAAGGTTTTTTGCATATGCTAATTAAAATCACTAATGGTTTCTTTATGATTATATTTTCACACATGTATATAATGTATGTTAATCGTATTCACCCTCTCTTGTCCCCTTCCTCTCCCTAATTACCCTCTCCTCTACCTTCAGGCCTGTGTGGGTAACAATGCCTTTCATGAGTGTTGCGTACAGGAGCGTGGTTGCGTACAGGAGCGTGGTGAGGGGTTATTTAAAGGAGCGTGGTTGCGTACAGGAGCGTGGTTGCGTACAGGAGCGTGGTGAGGGGTTATTTAAAGGAGCGTGGTTGCGTACAGGAGCGTGGTTGCGTACAGGAGCGTGGTGAGGGGTTATTTAAAGGAGCGTGGGCATCTTTCCAGTGGCTATACTACTAAAGAAAATGTCTCTTTGTCTCCCCAGCGACCATTAACTTGCCTGTAAACCCTCAGAGAGGGATGAGGCCTTAGGATCTGCCTGCTCCGTGATAGAATGGTGATGCACCCAATCTACACAGGAGGTCACAGCTGCTGTGGGGATCAGCTTTGTCCCCTCGTTTAGAGAAATGCAGTGGAGAGCACTATTGTCTTGATATCTTGACCACCAATCAGTCAGTTACCACCATTATCTTCAGGCCCCGTTTCAGGGCCTTGAACTGGCCATCCATCGTTCTTTATGCCCTGTGTTGGTAGGCTGTGGATTAGTCGCTTCCACAGCTGACCTCCTGCCTAACACAACCAGAACAAGAGTCAGCCTAAGACGGAGTTATCTGCCACCCATCTTACAACTGGGACATGGCTAGGGGTGTCCCTAAGAAAGCATCTGTGAGTCCCAAGAGTTCAGTCCTTAACACTGAAAAATATGTAAACCAACCAGCCTGGGACGTCAGTGTTTTCCTGGCTTTGGTGTAAGACTCGCATCAGAACTTTTGCAATTGATCCTCTTGCTCTAAGGGCTTCTGATTTTGACTAGTGCTAGAACATAAAAAACCTTGGTTGTGCAGCTAAGAGCAAAGCTTGGGTCTTCAGCCTTCTTAACTGTATGAAACAGATCCACCTGCCCCTGCCTCCCAAGTGATGCAATTAAAGACATACCACCATGCCTTCGGAATCAGTGCTTTCTATTAAACCTCTTCGCACACACCCTCACACTCTAGGTTCTATTTCGCTGGAGAACTCTGACTAATCCTGGGGGTTAGTGTATTTAAAATAAAGAACCAACTTAAGGGTGTGGGGATTGGAGGGGAGGGGGTGGCCCACACCTTTAATTCCAGCACTTAGGAGGCAGAGGCAGGCAGATCTCTAAGTTAAGGCCAGCAAGGACTACACAGAGAAACTCTGTCTTGAAAAACCAAACCAAACAAACAAAAAAGAACCAACTAAGCTCAATCAAAATGTGGTTTGAGATCGATCAGGAAATTTGAGCAATTAAATATGAAAATTGTGAGCTATAAATAAGGAAGATATTCTGTAAGGCTTTTGGGCTAATTGAAAGTTGGTCCAAAACCAAGTAGAATAATATCTTTATACAAAGATCTGTGGATGTGAAGGTAATATTTATAAACATGTTTAGGCTTAAAAGATATGAGATAGCTAATCATATTATTCTAACCTACAGAATAGTATTGTTAGGATTCAGGCATTATGCTGGCCGGCCCCTGTCACCTGGCAGGATCGCTCAGGCCCAGGGTCCCATGGCTGATACATCACTACGTAGTCTGTGTGGATGCAAAGGTCTGTTTAAGAGGAAAACCACCTGCTTCTGCTTTCATGCTGTTCCTTTGAAGAGGCAGGCAGGGCTCTCTCTCTCTCCCTTCCCTTTCTCCCAATAAAACTTCCCACTTAAGCTCTGTCTGGAATGTTTGACCCTCTCCCCCCACATGGAATCAGCCAAAGTCCCTCTAGCATATTATAACAGTAATTAAAATAGTAATGCTGAGTATTATTTTCACACCCCAAAGCACCCCCAGGATTGTGTTTAGAAAACTTGTCAGACTATTATTAAGATGGCTCAGTTGGCAAAGTGCTTGTCACAAAAGCATGAGGGCCTGAGCTCAATCCCCAGCATCCCTGAAGGAAGCTGGGTGTTAGGGTACATGCTTGAGATCCCAGCACTGGGGAGGCAGAAGCCTGCAGAACCCTGGGGCTCACTGACCAGGCAGGTTAATTTAATTGCTGACCCCCAAGTGACCCCCATCTCCAAACACTGGGGGACTGGTTCCTGGGAAACATCCCAGGTTGACCTGCTGTCTTTACACAAATGGATGCACATGGTGCTATCCACGCATCCACAATTTGCCGGGTGTACCTTCCGGTACATAGTTCTTGCTTAACCCTAATCTGGCCAATACCATGCTTCTTGCAGACCTCACAAGGTCGCCTGACATTTGGAATGCAGGGGTCACTGGTAGCAAATTCCAGACCTTCCGGGCCTTGCTTTTCTCCCTAAACTTGGCTCTCCTCCCAGCTTACTGCACACATACTTATTCTGCGCTGACAGAGAAATCAGGACCAGATGACAAGAATGGCTCTATTTTGGCTCCATGAGGTCCGCGACAAGTGTACAGAATGACAAAGTCCCTGAGCCGCTCCTCTGCTGCCTGAATACAACCCTAGAGAGCGAGAGCGCAAGTCCAGCACGCAAGCGCGAGTCCAAGCCCCTCCCACCAAGCTCCGCCCCAAGGCCCCGCCCCCGAGGCCCTAGACCGTCGTGCTTTGCGCCCGCCGGGTCTGCGCGGGAGTCTGGCTTTCCTAGGGATCTGCAGAGGTGAGCGCTCACGCGGAGCTGCGAGCGGGGGGATTGTCCCCGCAACGCGCAGCTTCCTGGTGCTGTTGGGTTCCGGGTCAGGGTGAAGCTGTGTGGGACACCCTTCTAAAAGCCAGACTTCCAGATCTGCTGCGGGGCTTACAAGCGACCCACCTCGCCTTTCCTAGGCCTCAGTGTCCCAGTCTGAGAACGAAAGCAGTGAGATTTAATCAGAGCCATCCCAAGAACCTTTTGTTTCCATCTCACAGACCCAAGCAAGCTCCAGTACAGCTACATCCCAAGATAATGAAACTTTGGCCTCAAACCTAGGAAAGTATATGACACTGCCACTTGGGATTTTAGCCAGTAAACCTGTCCCAACTCTATCTTATTTTCACAGCTGAAAATCAACTGTTGTGGTATAGGTTCTGGAGTTATGAGCAGTTTTCTTTACTGCATCCAGTCAACCAGCTGCGAGTCAAACATGTTTTGGGGACGTTTTCATCTATACCGAACAAGGCTTTATTTCCCTACAATAGTGTCACAACAGCATCAGTAGCATTTGCATTGTAGTAGGTACTGTAAGTAAGCTAGAGGTGACTTAGAATATAAATACTAAGCTGTTTTTGTAAGAGATGAACATTTGAAGGCCTTGGAGTCTGGGGGGGGGGATATGCTTATGTAGTACATGTTTATGTATAATGTTTAAAACTTCCCTGTTTATTACAGGTATTTTCTAGTTCGGTCAGCCTTCTGTGTCCATGAATACATAATCAGCCAGCCAAGAATTAAAAATATACAAGACAAATTGTGTCCACTGAGCTTGCAGACATTTAGTAGAGTCTAACTCTATCTGTAGCATTATGTCATGTTGCATATTATAAGTAGTATTGAGATATTTAAAGTATTAGAGATGTGCATAGGCTATATGCAGATACTATGCTATTTATACAAAGCAGCTAACAGTCTTTGGATTTTGATATCTGCAGGGATCCTGGAACGAAACCCTTGCAACCACTGAGGGACAGCTGTATAAGTTATGCTCTCGGAACTGTGTCTAACGCATGTGGTTCACTCATAAATCAGCTAGGAATTCACTGTGGGATGAGTGGTGGGTGAAGCGGGACTGTTGAGTACTTAGTGCTGTGTCTAGCCGTGGCAATAAAAATAATTACAGCCATTGCCAGAAGGATGTCCACTACCCTGAGACACTGAAATGTTTTCTGTGTATTTGTTCACCACAGCCACTGAGGCCGTTGCTGCACGCCTGCCTGGCAGATGGAGAGCTGATGCGTGAAACCCCCAGGTAGCTTGACTCCGGAGTCCGTACCCTCAGTCACAATGCAGTGTCGCTTCAGTTAAGAGCAATGTGGCCTGAGAGGCTCTTCAGTCTGTAACCCGACAGAACCACCTGCTGACTTCTCTTATTCTTGGCCAAATTATCCACAGAGGCGACACCCATGGCTGGTCCTCTGTGGAGGGCTGCAGCCTTTATACAAAGACACAGGACAGGACTGTTGGTGGGTTCCTGTGCAGGCCTGTTTGGGGTTCAGATCTCATTTCACCTCTTCTCCAATCCCATAGTCCAATGGCTCTACCAGTACTGGCCTCAGGGCCAGCCAGCTCCTCTTTCCCCTCAGCTACAGAGCCTCTTCCAGGAGGTGCTACAGGATATGGGTGTCCCCTCAGATCATTGCTATAAGCCTTTCACTGCCTTTACTTTTCAACCCGTGAGTGGCGGCTTCCCAAGATTGCCTTCTGGGGCCGCGGTGGGAATCCCTGCCATCTACCTGGGTGGCCCTGCGACCACCATCGACCATACTGTGATCATTCATGGGCAAAGAGTAAACTGGGAAAGCCCAGCAGGCACCAGGCTGAGAGATGCCCTGACCCTGTCTCATAACGCTCAGAAGTTTGCTTTAGCCAAGGAGGTGGTCTACCTGGAGAGCAATGTGGCTGCCCTACAGATCCTGCCAGCCCCAGCTTGCCTAGCAGGAACCTGGGTACTGAGTGTGGGTGCCAAGCATGCCCTGGGGCTCTATGGAGGCCCCATGGTCTTTCGAGCTGCCTTTAACTTGGTGGCAATAGTGGCTGGCTTTGTGGCCTACACCTTTTCCAAGGACTCCCTCACTATTGCCCTGGAAGGCTGGCTGGACCGCCGTACAGCCTCTCTGTCTGCAGCCTATACCCATGGTGGGGTGGAATTCTATGAGAAGATCCTGTCGGGCAACCTGGCCCTCCGAAGTCTTTTGGGCAGACAAGGAGAGAAGCTATACACACCAAGTGGGAATATTGTCCCCAGACACTGGTTCCGCATCAAACATTTACCCTACACCACCCGCCGGGACTCTCTGCTACAGATGTGGCGGGCGACACTCAAACCAGGGCACACCTGAGAAGCCAGTCAACAGGGCACTGCTGGTGAATGCTGGGGGAATCTCTTGATGTGACCCAAGGTCAGAACAGTGTGGAATTAAACAGCTCAATTCTGTCCTCACCATGAATGAATTTGGTGGCTGTGAGTCCCTAAATGAATCTGAGTGTTGTTTACGTCGACGGAGAAGTGGGAAGGACCGACTGCAGGGTTGTGTGGGATTGTGAGCCTAAGGGTCTGGAAGAGAGCAACGTAAATAAACAGGGTGCTCGTCCCTCTTGGTCTTTGAATCCCAGTGGGCTGTGGAAGTCAGAGCATGAGTCAATCACCAGATGCATTTCTGCTATATCTACCCGACCTTCTCCAACATTGGAGAACCACCCCGATCTACCTGATGCCAAATAGCTAACTTACTCCTCACCTTTAGTCCTTGGACAGGGGACCCACAGCAGGATGGGGAGAGCTGTGGTCAGAGAGCCAAGCCTAAGCTGGCCATGTGTGTTATCTTCTCGATGGAAATTGCATGCCTCTCTGCTGATTTGCTCAAGTGCTAGCTAGCGTTTAGCTCGTCATTCTGGAGGTTCAGGCACACGTCGCCTGCTTCTGCCATACCATTGTGGCATTGTAGAAAGGAGAGAAACCTCTGAGGAGAAGGGCCCAGTGGGAGGTTCTGGTCTTGCACAGTGAGCTCTGGCAGGCACAGGTCTCTATGGCTTTGGTTTGCTTTAGGATTTGAGGTGATGTCTCAGTGTTGCCCGGGTTGGTCTTGAACTCATGTATTCAAGTGCTCCTGCCACTTCAGCCTCCTGAGTAGCTGGCACTGCAGGTGCCCCACCACACACCCAGCACAGGTTGTTAGAATATGAGCATGAGCCTTGCAGAGAGCGGCGCTGCACGCCTGTGACCCCAGCATTTGGGAGGTTTGGGCAGGAGAGTTACTAGTTTGAGGCCCGGTGTGCTGCATAGTGAAACCCTGTCTCAGGATAGCAAAAACCTGGGCATGGTGGCTCACACCTGTGATCCCCAACACCTGGGAGGTTGAGGCACAGGAGTTAGAAGCTAGCATGTGTTACATAGTGAACCGTTCCGGGCAAGACTGAGCCAGGCTGAGACCCTGCCTCGAAGGGCAAGACTAACCCTTCCCCTCTGGCTTCCTGTTGTCATACCCACCGCTGAGACACCTTCCATGAAGTCCCACCAGAGATGAGCAGAAGCAGGCGATGTTTGCCTGAATCTCCGAAATGATGAGCTAAATAAGTCACTTAAGAAAAAAAAAAATCCAGCCTTAAGTATCTTTGTAACAGCAGAAAACACCAATACAGGAAGGCAGCTCCAGTGTAGAGGAGAGCTAGTCCTTAAGCCAGCTCCTTATTTCTCTCTCCTGCTCCTGGGCAAAGTCTTTGTCTCTCTCTTCTCCCACAGGTTTTACATGGCTCTTAGTGCTCTACCACCACCCCATGCCGTTTGTGTGTGTGTGTGTGTGTGTGTGTGTGTGTTCTCTCTCACACAATCACATATACACAATTAGAGCCAGAATACAGGGATCAGATCTGAGATGGAATGACATGACTGCCCATGCCTGATTCTAGCTGGCCCTCCCTGCTTCTGTCTCCTCCATTGGCCACTTGTTAGGGCTACCTAGCCATGTCTGAAGCTGGACGTCTGCACAGAAGCCATTGTAGCATGGACAGCCTGGAAAGGTCATGTAGTGGGCTTCAAAAGATTAGTTCCCTAGGACTAATTTTAGGGCTTTTGTGTGGTGCACATGTGGGGATGTTCAGGACTTGGAGCTTTGGCCGTCTTAGCAAATCCTCAAGACTATTCTTTTCATTGAACTCACTGCCAGCACGAGCTGCTCTACCTCAGCCTTTCAAAGCCTGCCCTGGTGACTTGTGGATTGGGCTGAGTCAGGGTCTCACTTTGTAGCTCTGGCTGGCCTTGAACTAAAAGATCCTGCTAATGAAAGGGTCCGAGGAAACGCTGAAGGAAGACCCCCTACTCAAATAGAATGTGAAAGCAAAGCGCGTTTATTAATATTCTAATATGCAAGGGTTGGCACCTGTACAAAATGGTGACAATCATGAAGAGTGTGCAAGCTCCTTTTAAGCATAGCTAAGGGGAGGTTCAGGGACAGTTAAGTCACCTCATGTATAACTGGTTAAATACATAGCAGTTACGCTAGTGTACTTTTCACTGGCTGAGGTTTAGTCTTATCATTTCTGGACATACTCGCCCAAGCTTGGGCAAATCCAGATGTGACTCTGAACCGACTGTTGGATTTGTCCTTGAGACACTGTGAGGCTGGCCTCCCTTGTCCCTGAATGCAAGGGTATTGTGGCTAAGTGGCCCTTTGTGGGACAGACATCTGCTTTGCCTTTGTCGGATAACTGAAATCTAAACTCAGTTGCGAGAGTAGAAGAGTTTAACCCCTTCACTAAGTGTTGGGGTTAAAGACTTTGGCCACCACTTTCGGTAATTCTTTGGGTTGCCATTGTTAGATCAGGATTGCTGGAGGGACATGGAAATAAAGCCGACCAGCGTCTCCGGAAGCAGAATTGTTACTTTAATCAGAATGACCGAAGGACCTCAGCCTGAGGAGGCGCAACTGCACAACACAGGGGCATAACTAAACGTTATTCAAAAGGTAATTATGAAAATTGGGCTGAGGATGTGGCTCAGTTGGTAGGGTGGTTGCCTAGCAGCACAAAGACTTGGGTTTAATTCTCAGCACCAGGCATGGTGGTGCATACCTGCACATCCCAGCACTAGTAGGAATGTGTGGGAATTTTAGTTATGACTGACACCTATACCTAATATATTATGATAGTCAAAAAGAAAGCAAAAAAAAAAAAAAAAGATAAGAAAAGAAGACTTATGTATGATAGCTACAATAATGGAAACATGTAAGACCTGGAAGAGAACTCTGTGTGTGTGTGTGTGTGTGTGTGTGTGTGTGTGATCATATTCAAAGAGGCATGGACTTTACACCCCCCTTCTGCCTCAAGGTGACAGATCCTGGCATCCCTGCTTCTGGCCCGCATTCTTGGGCTGTGGCCAACCTTCTGCCTGTCAGTAGCGGTGGAAGCCAGGAAAGCCTCCCCAAACCTGCTGTGGGAGCAGATTTCACCGGCAGATCCAGCTGTTCTCTGAATGTTTCCACATTCACCTGGATCTGTGCTGGACCACAGTCACGGGGCCCCTGCAGGCAGCTCCTCTCCAGTGGGAGATTGGCTCTGAGACAACTCCTGGTCTGGGGCTCTTCCTCTGCCCTCTCCCATGGCAGGAGGATTTTGAGGGGCTGGGGAAGATAGCTCAGTTAGTAGAGTGCGTTGCTTTGCAAGCAGGGGGAATGAAGTTTGATTTCCCCCCCCCCCCAAACCCACATTTTTAAAAAGCCAGGCTTGTAACTCTGGAGGCAGAGGCAAATGGATCCCTGAGGCTCATTGGCCAACCTAGCCTATTCATTGATTTCCAGGTAAATTGAAAGACAGTTTCTCAAAAAGTAAGATAAAGGCAAAGACAGAATAAAGGCACTTGCCAACACACCTGACAATCCGGCGCACATGGAGAAAAAGAACGAGCTCATACAGCTGTCCTCTGACCTTGCATACCCTTGGGGACACATGCAAAGACAAATAAATAAGTAATAAATAAATTGAAAGACCTGCAGAGTGTGGACCTTCACGCTCCACTCAGGAAAGGCGACACCCAAATCACTCACAAGAAGCTGTCTCGATGCAAATAGCATGAGGAGTGTTTATTCCAAGTGCACTGGGGTCCATAATCATATGCCACGCAGGGGTAGAGGACTGAGGACCTCGAGGGCAGAATTGAGATGCTTTTATAGGATTTACATCAAAGCTAACAAGGCCAGTTTCAAAGCTAGCCTGTTATTTTCACTAGGCCCAAAAGCAAGGTCATGGGACAGTTCAAAACTTGGAATGGTTAATAAGGTTTCCTAGGTTACAGAGATTTCATAGAGTACACAGTTTACAAGGTGGGATTGTTTAGCGCACCGGCAAGGTTAGGGGGTTTTCTTTCTCTAGGACCAGTGAGCTCAGTGGCCTTGTCCTTGAGTGGCTGGGAGAATGTACTCTCCAGTCAGGGAGTTATCTATATCTATTGGCAGAGGCACTTGTTCTTTCTAGTTTTCCCTCCTTGCCATGAGTTCCGTCTCTTTTAGTTATTAATTTTCTTTGTAGACAGGATGACCCATAACAATTCCCAGACTGTTGTTGTGGATAACAACATTCTTCAGAAACTAGGTGGTTATGAATAATAATAATAATTTCCAGAAACCAGTCATCGTGATCAAGCTATTTCATGTGTTTTTCTTTATTCCTGAGCTTTGCATGCAGCTAGGGTGATTTTAAATACATGCTGATGAACTTTTTTTTTTTTAAATTTCTAACTTTTAGTGGTCATTAGAGAGTTCGGCTGTATTTTCATCCTTTCAAAATAAATGTAATTTAAAAATCTTTTTTAAAGATGGCAGCAGGACTGGAGAGAGGGCTCATGGTTGAGAGCACTTGCTCTTCTAGAGGACCCAGGTTCGGTGTCCAGCACCCGCACGGAGCAATTCACAACCACCCACCTACCCCAGCTCCAGGGCATTCAACACCTTCCTTTGACCTCCAGGGCCCCCACACACATGTGGCATATGTGTATGTATGTATGTGTGTGATGTGTGTGTATATGTATATGTGTGTGTGTGAATGTATACATATGTATGCATGCGTATAAATGTATACGTATATGTATGCCCATATATGTATATCTACATATATGTTTTCAAAAAGGATGGGTAATGACTGAAGATGCCCAAGGTTAACCTCTGACCTCATGCACACATGTGCCACACCCCATACACCCGACCTCTCCTGTCTCTTCCCCCTTGCTCCTTCCTGCACCTCCCCCCTGACTCCCATCCCACCCTGTAACCTCAGGGTACCTCAATCTCGTCACACCTGCATGGATAACGTGGGAGATCATCACGTGGGAAATGCTTGAAGGCGCACAGGAGAGGACCTCTAACTCAGATCGAAAGGTAGTGAGGGCTTCCTAGGAGAGATGCCCTGCCCCACAAGCCCTAAGGGTTGGCCGGCATAATGCCACGTCCTTGTATGACAC